GTGTGTGTGGGTAAGCTTATGGTCATTGATATGACGTAAGCAGAGAGAAATGAGAGTTAATGAAGAGAGAAATAATAATTTTGAAGCAAGATAGAGACAGATTAATCATTTGATCAATTGTTGATGTTAATGTGGATTAGTGCAGCTTGGTCATCAGCAGGAAATATTAAAAATATTGAATCCAAATTTACTTCCTTGACTTCTGAAACCATTTCTAGGAACGTCTGTTTTAATGTTGGGTACATCTGTGTCATAGCTGGAAACACAGCAGTTGTCTTGTCTTCATCTGCAGTAAACAAGTCAGCAGACGCTTACCTCTCTTGAAAGGTGAGGTATGCAGATCTGGAGAAATCCAATACCATGATAACTACCATGATATAGAACGAACAATAACATAGCAAGTATTGTTTTGTTAGCTAGGTTGTGGAGTAGCAAAATGTCACTACAGTTGTTGCTGCAAAGCTAATATGCACTAGCGATACTCACAACTCTCCTGCTACTATAGTATATCTTGGTGAACTAGAAAGTAAGCAGAATTTCTGAGGACAAGGCATTTAATGTTATCTGACACACAAATCACGGCTGGAATAGGTTTGTGTGGCTCGGTCTGAGTCACTTTGTTTGTTTCCCGTTTATAGGGCCAGGGTTGAGGACAAACACCAGATTTCTTTTCAGTGCACACACAGAACGGGCAGCGAGCAGACCCTCTGGATATATTTGTTGAATTTGACAACAAGACGTGTATTGGATTAGAAATGCACATGCAGCCTTTAACAAAGGGATTTACTGTCCTTGGCTGAAAAAAAAACATATATACAGGCCTGTAGATTCCTTAACTCCTCTAGACAGACACTTTTCAGGCTAAAACACACCCTGTTACATCAAAACAGCATCTTATGAGTGTGGACAGGCGAGAACGTTGCACAGCAAAGTCAATTTGTGTGACGTAGGCGGTGTACGAATCCTGGTGATGTTGTGACTATTTGCAGGGCCGGTATGCTAGTTGGCTTGGAACATGCTAGCATACCGAGTCATGATAGTCCGTCATGCTTGTTGGCTTTCTAACTGCTAGTTCAGAAGCTTACAATGTATACACACACCTAATATGATAGCTTCCTTCTCCTCTGGTTCTCCATGTTCTCAAAAGTCAGTACTTAACCGCTTAAAACTAGTCAAACGCGTTCGTGTCCGAGTTCACTAAAGTTGGATGTGAATTCTTCTTCTTTTTCAATGAGTAACTCTGCTGATTGCAGTAATTCCATTGAAAGAAATGGATTTATTTAGAAATATTTGTTTGCTGCAATAACTGCTGTGAAAGGCTGGTTCTTTTTTTGCGTTGTATTTTTCATTTTGGGTACAAGTCATCTTGTTGTTGTTTATTGAATTCCACAAAAACATCTCTGATCTTCCTGTATGGCTACTGTGTCGTGTGGCTGATCCTTACCAGGCTGCTCTGGACCAACCAGAAGGTCCACTGGGTTGCTCACATACAGTACACTCTGGAGTGACATTAGGGCCAAAAGGAACCATGCAATAATCCCAATGGGGCTCAGACAGATCCGGTCAAACAGACCACCAATTTATGAGGTGGTTTCTGATATCCGACATCAATTTTCTTGGTGTCTGATACAAACAAATAGCTGCTGTTGTTTTGCCCAAAGAAACTGTCTGAGTTTTCCATCAAGGATAAAAATAATTCTTAATGCTCTGTGAAAGGCCTATGGTAAATTCTTGTGAAATTGTATTTAGTTGTGTCCAGATAATGTTCATCTGGCTTTTCACAGCACTAAATAATGAACCCAGTGGCTTCAAAGAAATCATGTGGATTCCTTCAGAACAATCGTGCCATTTTGCTTTTAGCGTGGGAAAGACAGACAGTCATGTCTCAGCAAAAGTTTTTGTCGTTGCTGCCTCCCTCAACTCTTTGAAGTCATAACTAACTCATGACCAGCCAATATTGAGTGATTCATACGTACAATATCTGCTTTATTGAAACTTCTGTTTTTCAGACCTAAATATTGTCATTGTCCGACACAAAGTATACACAGAGCCCTCCTTGTACAGAGTGACTGTGCCTTTAATGAAACAACCAAATCAAACAAGGGGATTGGTTTGATTTCTCACTGAAGTCAGGGGTTGTTCAACCTGAAAAAAATTAATTTATATACGTTTTTATTAAACTAGCAAATTATTAGTGTTACTTATGTGGAAAAACAATTAATTCAAAGGACAATTGCCCAACCAGCACATAAGCCAAAAAGTTATCTTGTGTCCTGGTTGTGCCATCAACTGCACATGTCCATTAGTGTTTCTCTCCCTGGCACCTCCAGGTTGGCCCTACTTGGCCCATAGAACTTTCATTGGGATGATGTTATGCACATAAAATAGCTTTGGGAGGCTCTAGGGCAGTTTGACACCTAAAACCTTCATGGTTTGAAAAGAAAAAGAGTTGTTTACCCTCTAAGGAGGGTTCAAATCAAGGGAAACTGGAACTGGTTGAAGATACTAGATACTACTTCGAGTATCTTTAACCAAGTCTAGTTGCCCTTGATTTTAACTTTCCTTGGATAACTATGACCTACATGACTAGATACCTTACAGACAGTTGTTTACCTTGGTTGTGTCTGGAGGTGTCCTGTAAACATTCTCAGAGATGTCTCTTTTTAAAATAGTGGTCCATGGGCATATTGCATGCATATTGTGCTGCTGGGACTTTTGTTGTTGTTGCAGTACCACAGTTGGCCACTAGGACAGGTTGGCGACAACTGTGGTGAATGTAGCTCTTTTATACATTTATGCAACCAACAGACTGACTCCATTGTAACATCATATACTTCCTGTTTTATTGATCCTAAATCGAAAGTCTCAGAATGTCCCATTAACATTGTTCGTACATCCCTGGAACATTGAGTTTCTCTTCTGCCCATTCATAAACTGACACTACCAGTTGATGCCATTTCTCCATATCCTAACTTACCCTGTGGAACGCACACTATAACATTTATTTAACTAGCATGTCACACACATTAAAACCTCTTTCACAAGTAAGACCCAGCCAAGACAGGGTGTAGATCATGCATCCAACACATGACAGGAACAACAACACCAGATCACAACAGCATCAACAGGTATGTCAAATATGCATCACATAATACAGTGCATAAACAAGGCAGCAGTAAACACTGGCTGTGTCATATCATGCATCATTTCATGCACGTCAGTTGATGCCCATAGGACGCATCTAACATGTCAGACAGACAGAAGTAGTAGTCAAGGTAGTTGAGTAGCCAGGATCTGTTTCTTCTGGGGAGTAAACGTGTCATATTTGCTGCTTTTCTGAAAGGTCAAGACTTGATAACACATGTCAAGACTGACTGTGTTTGTTGCCCTTAACAGTATATGACATGCCTAGCTAACACACGTGTTGTTTGTAAAGCTTGTAAACAAGAAAACAAAGTAAAACAGCCTGGGGTTCAAGGTTTACACTTTTGTTGCTAATCATAATAATAATCATTCTTGCTGTAAATACATTGAATGTTAAAAGGAAGGTAGATTAGTGTATCTGCATTATTTAAAAAATGATAGAGGTGGACAGCAGTTCAAGATAGATTTTAAAGAATTACCCCAACAACAGTAAAACTAAGTGTGGAAGAAAGAAGCTTGGTTGTATGTAATTTCGCCAGTGGACGCATCATAGTTAGCCTGTATTGCCAGTGTCTTTTGTGCCTGAAGTGCAAACGGATAACAACCATCACCATGGTCGTTTCGGTCACCAACACAAATCCCAACCTAATAATAAAATAATAGCTCTCTCAAATGAACAAATTACAATCTGCTCTTCAGTAATCATTTTGTTGAATGCTCTAGTACCCCTCCACACACACACACACACACACACACACACACACACACACACACACACACACACAAAAGTGTATTAATATCTTTTCATGAACCTGAGTCCCATGGCAACACCAAATGTGCCCTGTCTGGGTGTTGGGATGATCGAATCCCCCAGACAAATCACTGCATGATAACACAGGCCTCAGCACTGCCATGTGAAGAGGTCATCCATTGATATTAATGACCTGGTGGTTCACTGGCCTGTGGTGATTGGTTACGTTTATTCAGGCGTTAGTTAGAGGGGCAAATCAATGGGATTTAACAGTTTTGACTCCTGAGGGTGTGGTGGATGTAGTACAGAGAGGGTCTGGAGGTGGTGGATGGGATGAGGAATGAAAGAAAAAGAAAGCATAAAGAGGAGCCTGTGAAGTTGGTGTAGGAAGATGAAAGAGAAAAGGCAAACAGGAGAAAGAGGAGGAGGAGAAGCAGGGGGAGGAAGATCAAGAGCAGAATTGGGATAAGGACAAGTGGAGGTAGAGGAGGAAGGTTGAGGTGAAAGAAGGTCAGATAAAACGTCCTGTGGTGCCGTGTGGTGTGTCCTTTGCTAATCCGTCACACCCGCTGACACACACTGGCTTGTTATCTGTTGTTTTGTCTACTGGAGGATAGATTTGTTCATTCTCAGCATCTTTTTATCTGTGGCTGACTGACAGGAGTCCCCTTTTCATATAAACAACTGACCGTAAGACTTGACTCACTCTGAGAAGTCAGATCACCACTGAACCAATCCCCCATTTATTTTCCTGATACAGAGCTTTGGTCAAAGTTAGGACCCCATGAGTTCGTATAGTTCAGCTTACCGTAGGTGGTACCTACTTAATGAGTAACTTAACAATAAATTCTAATAATAATCCTACTCCTTAGTGTTGATTGTTTCCTGAGAAAATTTTTACATTTTCAGTGAAACATGAACACAATGTCAGAATGAATAAATGAAATGAAATATCAAGTCACTCAGTGATTATCAGGCTACCAATGGGGCCGTGCATATCTATAGCAATAGCCTAATTTCTATGCTTAGGCCCCATATCAGTAAATAAAATACATGTTCTCTAACACTTCCTCTTTCTCTTTCTGTCTGTCTTTTGTCCTTACAGATCCGGTCTCAGTGGACCTGGACCAATATGATGTGGGTTCTCTGACTGATGCTCTCAGAGGTTTCCTGCAGGACCTGCCTGCCCCTGTCATCCCTGCCACAGTCTACAGCGAGCTGGTCTACACTGCTCAAGGTACAGTGCGGTACACTGCAACATACACAGGTGCACTGATGTTAGTCGTGGGTAAAACTGTCCCATACCTCTAGTGGTATCGGCGCATTTAGAGAGTTATGGTTTAATTTATCAAGGTTTTGACATTTCCAGATTCCTGCCTCCAGAATAATACAATGAATGTAAATATGATTTGGTTTGTGCTACAACATCTCCTTCCAGGGACAGTGTCCTTGTTACCATAGATTAGGGTCTCTCAACCTCTCGGTGACAAATACCACCAAAACTAAGTTGTTTTTTTATAAATGTATTTATTCATTTTTACTTGAAATAAAAGTCCTAACCAGGTAAAGCCAACGTTATGGGAAACATTTGGTAGCAACACAACTATGACCCACATAAAATTTAAGATTTTTTTAAGAGTTTTCCTGTAGCTATAAGCAGCGTTTTCATGGCTGGTGACGGGTCTTAGTGCCTCCAGCTGCGTCCTCATCCATGTGTTCTCCACTCTCACACACTGTAGGCTTAAAATCTTAATTACAACTTCAAGCATTTAATTTATTTTTATTGGCTCTCTTGCATGACATATGCTTTAAATCCTTAAGCGCTTGACAAAGAAAAGAATTTCAGGTTAATTATGCGAACTGTGAATTGTCTATCTAGTGTGTGTGTGTGTGTGTGTGTGTATGTATATATATATATATATATATATATGTTAATATTTTCTTGAGAACAAGTGGAGAAGAGTGCAACTATGGAGCTCAGAGTGTTTTTTTCTTGCCTCTGTCACTTGGCATGAACATCATCAATCGTCACACCTGACAGACTTCTGCCATATCTGGATGTAAAGACGACAAGGCTGCACCTTCTCATCAGCATCAAATTCTTCTAATCTCCTGACAGCTTCAGGATTATATACTCTGAGCTAAAACATTGCTTGGTGCTAGGTTCTCTCTCTTTTCTCATTTATTGTGCAGCTGACCTGCCTGTTTACCCTTTCATCTGCCGCCCACCTTGACCAGAAGGCCCCTGCTCTCTCCGGTTTTTAGGGACACTCATATATTCTTAATGAACACTACCTTGACATTCGGCATTTTGTGCTTTGCGTGGGTGGTGAGCGTGCCAGTCTGTGGAAATTAAACAGGGACATGGACATATGAGTGTGTATTAGCAAGGACAGAGGCATCGTCTGCGCTTGCAGGGAGTTTCGCTCCAGCTTCCCTGCAACCTCCTCCCAAAATATTACTTGGCAAAGCTCCTCAACAGTATCTCCAACTGAAAACCCCCTCAATTATGTAAGTGCTTTTCTCTCTCTCTTGGTTCTCGTCCTGTTAGTGACAGCTCTTTTTAATTTTAGTTATTCATGGAAACATTTTAAGTCAGGATAAACCACTTTGAAAGGATGCATCAAGTATTTTGTGCAGGTCGTCCAAGGTCAAGGCCACTGACACTGAACTTCTTATTTAGGAAGGAGTCACATGGAGGAGCACTTGGGATTCCTTCTGTGAAATCAGAGGGTATTATAAGATTGGTTTTGAGATCTGAAGCATTTAATTTGTACAGCAAGGATAAGTAATGAGATCCCTGACAAGCTGGGAACGAGGGCTTCGGTTCAGCTGTACACGTTCCTGATCCAGCTTCGCAACCTAGGCTGGAACAAGAGTGGCAGGTACTTAATTTGCAACTCTACATCACAGGAACAACTTTATGTCCATTGACTGCCTGACATTCGGTAGGGAGGGTGGGGCACGGGCGGAAGTCTTATCACTGTTCCCAGTGTTTTTGAGGGTGTGCCTGACTCACTAGTTGAGACTTATGACACATGTTACAAAGTGGCGCGAATAGGTAACGCAAGTAAAGGCTTGACTTCAATCAAACTGTAGACTTGTGAAGTTAAAAAACAAAAAAGTAGGAGGACTTTAAAGAGGTGGTATTATGCTTTGTGGCTTTTTCCCCTCTCCTTTATTGAGTTATAAACCTTTTTTCTGCATGTAACAGGTTTGCAAAGTGAAAAAGCCCAAAGGGAGTTCCCATCTCCCACAGAAAACTCTGCTCTGAACTGCCTGAATACAGCTTGTTTGTAATCCAGCCGCTTCCCTTTCGCCCCTGTGACATCACAGGGATGAAAGCTAAAACGACACAGGACTGAAAAGAGGAACTGCAGTAATGTGCAGTATGATAGAAAATATAGTGTTATTTGAAAATTAAACCATGTAAACCTGTTCTGGTACAACCCGATTCAATTTAAAAAACAATATAGACACATTGACAATTAGTGCAGTGAGCAGAGTACAAAGGATGCAGGAGTAAAATATTATCATTATTATGTGTGTGTCGGAGTTGGATGTGATATACAGATACACATACATGCATGTACACAGTGCGATGGAGCACAGTGCAAAGGATGTATATACAGTACAATATAACAGTATGAACAGCACCGAAATAGAGAATGGTGAATAAATAATAAGTGATGACCAGTAAACAGGTGGTTGATTAGAGACAGAGTTTCTGGATTATTGCACAGGAGTTGTTCCTGACACTGTGGGTCAGAAATCATCAGAGTGATCACTTGTTGGAAGAAACCGTAATTGTGTCTGTTGGTTTTGGCGTACAGTGCTCTGTAGCGCCTATAGGGAGAAGATGGAACAGGTTGTGTTTAACCCATCCTATTTAGGAACAGTGGGCTCGGGGAGCAGTTCGGGGTTCAGGGCCTTGCTCATGGGATACCTGCGGCGTTGGTTCGGGCTGGACTCGATCTGGCGACCTTTCGGTTTCCAAGCTAAGTCCGAACAGACTGCCCCAGTTTGCAATACATACATTACTTACAGTGGCTGCTTGAACTGGCAGCCCCTGCAGCCCTGGGGACGTGTGGGGTGCAATGGCAACATACAGAGTTGGCATGAGCGTGTCACCAGACTAATAATGAGAAGTATCTGAGCCACACTGTACACCTGCATGTATATAATCGGATGTTTCTAGGCAGGTAGTAGTCAATAAGCAGAGGAATGACTCAAACTAAATATATCCAACTCTACTGCCATCAGCAAACAGTACGTCTGGGGAAAAAAACTTTTGCAATTGCATCATAAATGTGTGCTCCCAGCTCATCATCCGGTGATCATATCCATATGGATGGAATCAGTAAAATGTGCTTCATATAAAGACAGTTATAGTCCATCCTATCTTAGTCTAATCCCTGAGATTTGTTGATGTTGTAACAGTAAAAATCCCCTCTCATTCCTTTTTATTTGTTACCTTTCCTCTGGCTATCCTGCTCTCTGGGAGAGAGATCTGTTTGATCTGCGTCCATTTTTCCAGTCAGTGGCTCGTCATGGGAAATACCCATACACTGTTACAAATAAGGATAAAATGTCAAGTGTTGGAACAGATTTTCAAATACCTTTTCAACCCTACTTGACCCACCAGTGAGACAGTCGAGACACACAGTTCTGCCCAACTGCCCCCTAATAAGTCTGAAAAGGAGTCATAAGATTTTGATTTGGGGGAAATGTGTGTAAAAAGATTCCATTTGGACATGAAATCTGGCAGCTAATCTTAAAAAAATAACCTAAAATCAATTTAAAAATGTAGGCTTATGTGTGTCATAACCCAACCGCAACCTCCCAATCTGAAAAGTGAGGCCAAGGAGGAAGTGCCTTTTACCTGCACACTTTTTAATGGCCAGCAGGGGGCAAAAAGAAAAAAAAAGTTTGATTATTCTCCCTACTTCTCATTTGATTTATTCCCTCAGTAAACACTCTCCTAATAAGTTATTGGTCTCAGTCGCTAGTTTCAAATCTTCTTCAACACAGCATGGTGTTCATTTAATTGTTCATTGTAAATTAAGGTCCCATTTAGAGGAAAATATACGATAAACTTTGTGACTGACAAGTCTCTACCACAATGACCTGTCAGGCGTAGCAATCTGTACACCTCCCAGCTCCACCCTCTCATCCAAATATTGTCACTTCTGGTTTCAAAAAAACAAAATGCCAAACTCAAGGCTTAATAATAGTAGTCCACAAACCAATGGGCCACGTCCATTTCTTTTATACGGTCTCAGGTCATAAACTCCATTCAACCCTCAAATTAGTCATAACATTATCTTCAGTGTGTTCATTAACAGAAAAGTCACATTTGTTGGTATCAGATGGATCCTCCTATAATTCTCCTCTCATCTGTTCATGCAACATTCTGACCAGCCTTTTGTTTGTCTGCTTTTTTTTTTTTTTGGATTGCGATGCTTTGACATGTGTGAAAGGGCCATAAACCATTTTTAAAGTAATGATGACTGCAAAGGAGACATGAATCAGTGTGATTTCAGGTCAGTAGGAAGTTGCAGCCTGAATCTTCCTCTGTCCCTCGACATTTTAATCTCTAAATTTGAAAATCACAGTTCACGCCTCCCCTAATCTTTGTCATCCTCCTTCTGTCTTTGTTCTCTGAGTCACTAATCTTAATAACTTAATATGAGACCTTCTACATTTGTTCTCCTCTGCTCTTTTTTCTGTTTTCTTCATTATTTATCCTCACCTCCTGCCTCCCTCCCCCATGCCTATTTTTATCCTCTCCCTGTCTTTTCTCATTCATTAGTTTTGCGAGGGTTAGTTAACCTTAATGGTTTTTGCCGAGGTCATCGTCTGTGAGGATAAAGGCCAGCTGAGTGAGACTGACTGACCACTGTCCATCTGGACCGTCACAGCAGAGATGCAGACAGGGTCTGTGTTAATGAGATGCAGGTCAAACGTGTTTAATGAGACTAAAGTGATCCGATTAACAAAACATTTTCAACTTCCACTCTTCACTTATTAATCTCATAAGAGCTTTCTTTATCATTTCTTTTTCTTAAAATGTAATTTGCCTATTTTGATTTTTTTAAAGTATGTGGACATTCACCCCAGCCCTAACCCCTCAAAACCACTAAGAGCCTTCTGCTCACAAGATAACACCATGGCTGACAACATTTGATATATATATATATATATATATATATATAATTAAAATTATAATTTCTTTTT